CACAATTAAAATGTGAGACCCATCTTGATTTTTTTGTTTTGTCACTTTTTTGTGAACTCCGTTCATGTATTATGTTTATGTATGTAACATGAGAAAATATTTTCATGTAAAATGAGAAAATTAATCGCAAAGAAGAGGGTGAAGAAAGGGAATTCAGAGTTACATTGAGCAGGAGGTCGCTAACTAAGTATAAGGCTGTTTATGTCTTTGGGTTGTTGGATTGGACCGATGGCAAGCATCATCGTGTCAGGAGCCCTATTGATGTTGGGCCTCCACAAATGTAAGGTTTAGGTTGATATGCTACATTTACCTTGGGTTTTATTGTTAGGTCTCTGAAAATTGACAAGAGAATATATCAATGAACTTACTTATCTTACATGTTTCCAGTTGTTGCTTTATTTAATGCTGCATATTGCATAATGAGCTAAAATATCTTGTTAAATTACTTGGGTTTACTGATTTACTATATATATATTATGGGTACTTACTTGTATCCTACACGTTACAATGCATATATTCGGTAATGTTTTAAAAAGATAATGCTAAGCATCCGGCTATATATTCAATAAATATATTTAATATTTAAACATTTATCAAAATTAAATTAAAATTTGCTCACATTTAATCACTCTAGCTCGAACCCCATGGGTACTATCTTTGTCATTCTCTTTATTTTTCAAGGTCACATTTTTGCTCTTTCTCATTCTGAACGTGATGAACAGATGAACAAGCTTCGAAACAAATGATAAAAGCGTCACCTTTTGACTAATATCTCGCTTTAAATCTCAAGCTGTGATGGGCAACCATTGGAATGGAATCCTTACATTATTTTTTGTACAGTAGAGAAAGAAAACAACTAAAAGAACTACGCATCCTGCTTTAGTAAGATTCTATTTAATAGTTATAACTTTCGGGTTACTAAAACATTTGATCCTATAATGATTATCTGAGTCAAGGTCAAGATAACTACAGCTTTTGAAATATTGGAAAACTTTGATCTAACAAGAATGAAGCCTGAAAAACCACTCGCCAAGAACAACTATATCTAATAGGCTCTCTCAAAGAAGCTGTACTTGTTAAATGGCCATTGGTAGATGACACCGAAAGAACATCACGATTACTTACTGCTTTCCAATTTCACAGATTAAATCCTCCTCCTATTATCAACTCGTGTTTTCTTTGATGCAGATCCAGCTGGTAGATGCTCGCCACTAAACCGAATCTGGATGAGAAGAAGAAATTGTTTCGAAGTTCAACACCATACAAAGACTCCAAAAACATATTATGAAGTAGAATACATCACCTTATCAAGCTTATGCCGTACAAACCTCACTGTTTGATTCATGGAAGGCGAAGCAAAATATTCCTGTTTATAGAACATGTTAGTATGAGGTAATAGATAAAAAAGCAATTATTCTTTTCGCTTTGCACATAACATCCAAGTTAGAGATCTAATGACAGGGGAAACCATAATATCAGATCCACCAATCCAGGTCCTAACAGATTGCAACAAAAACTACTACTGTGAAAAATTAATTTCCATCAGAAATATGAAGATAGCTGAACATTTAAAACATACTACAGAATATAGGTTTCTTCCAATTGGTCCTCAGAGACAAGGTTAATAAAGACAAGAAACTCGATTAACTTCAAAATGCCCTGGCAAATATTCCAGCAACATTAAACACAAGAAAAAAAATTGTTCATTTCCCCACCCAAATTTTTTCCTTCAATTCAAAAGTGAGAGTAAGTAGATCAGAGTAAAATTTTTAGTATGTGCATGGCAAAGAAGCAACAAACCTCACTAGAGGAAACCGTTCTTATTGGAAGATTACCACTGTGTGACCTTCCTTGGAATTCTACATCCTTGCAGTGAGAAAAGAGAATCACCTATATGTGTTGCCTTAAACAGAAAGCACAGAGTCGCAGTGTGCAGACAGAAAATAAATTACCTTTCATTAGGATCTAAATGTTCTGAGGCAATCAGAGGCCTAGAGCTTGAGGCTGTAGTCTCTTTGCATCTTCTAGCTGATATCATGAGGAACACATGGATAAGTAGATAATGATAAAAATGCCGTAATAGCAATTCATATAATAAACATTTGTGTATCCTATATAATATAAAAAGGCAACCTGCTGCTATAAAACTCCTACTCTGGGCAGGGTTTATAACATGCAGCCTTGTTTATATTTGCACGAGTCTGATTACATGAATCCAACATGTGTCCTATATAATATGCCTAATTTTGAAATGCAACCATTGCAGGCTTTAACTTAAGGTTCAATCGCACTAAAACCTCCCTTCTTCTTCCCTCTAATTTATCCTTTGTGTCGGAGAGGCTCTCGAAATGGGGAGCATATGAAACCTGCAGTCAATTTGCGAGGAAAACAAAATCATCCAATTTTCTTTTTGCAAACTTGAAATTATAGATGGCAATAGGATGCTCCCTCAACTTAACCATCTCAAACATAACATACCCTACACTCAAATTTATAACATAGCTATTTCATCTGGCAAGGCAAAAAAACACAGAACGAAACCTCGCACTGCTGAAAAGGCGGAATTTGATCCAATAGACATCAGTGAATGGCTCACAATCCTCTGCATCCATTGGCTTACACCTGGAAACAGAAAAAAGATTCAAACAAAAAACATGAATGTAAGAAGCAATTTTTTAGAGGTGAGGAAACGAACTTACTCTTCAACTTCTCCATGAGATGAAAACAGTTGCAGCAAATCATCCCCACAACCTAATGCTGGAACGTTCTTCACAGTCAAATATCTGCACCCTTCAAACCAAAGAATACAATAAGCTTCCAACCGATGAGATAATGAAAAGGAAAAAGAAAAAAATAAAAAAAAAGAGTTTGATGGGTAAATGAAAAGAAGGGTATTTTAATAGAAAGTGACATGGATTCATCGCAGACGGTGTAGACGCGAACCCTTGGGGGCTCATCTTTGTAACGAGGCATCTAAGGATGATTGGTTCAAAGGGAAAATAACAATCAGTTATTCAGTTTCATCGTTAATTTGAGATTGCTTTTGACATTGTACACGATTCATGCAAGAAGAAGGACCTTCGGTTACATTCATTTTGGCTTATAAAATGCCATGGAAAGGGCACATTAGAATTCTGAGGTTTAAAATTTTCAATATCAATATTTATTAGAGCTGATGCATGATAAGTAGGTACAGAAATCAGTACTTACCATTACCCATATCAAAAGGCCGTCACATATCACACAAGCAAAAAATTACACATGGATCATGGAATAACAATAAATCATAATCCAGATTCTTGCATTCCCTCCTTTTTCAGAAGAAAGATGTCATAATCATGTCTGTGTCAAATATAAGGCTAAAGGTGCATGATAAGTAGGTGCAGAAATCAGTACTTACCATTACCCATAACATAAGGCCCACACATATCGCACAAGCACAAAAATTACATATGGAATAACAAGAAGTCATAATCCAGAATCTTGCATTCCTCCTTTTTCAGAGGAAATATGCCATAATCATGTCTGTGGCAAATATAAGGCTAAAGGTGGACAGTATTTTAAGTACAATATATAAAGTAGTATTTGTGTAAGAATACAGGCAAAGAAAATTATAGCAAGCAACATTATAAACAGTGAAACAGCAAAGACAAACATATTCTAATAAAAAAAGCATAAGTCCAACAAACAAGGAAGAGATACCCTAGTCTAATTTCATTATTGCATGGCAAAATGAAGGAGAAACTTACTATTTACAAACAACTGCAGCTGATATGCTGCATTAGTTTGATACTGAAATTAAGTCTCATCCAATAAAACAGGAAGCACAGAATTACTATTGTTGCCCCCCAACATTGTCTCAGGATATGAGCATGCGTAACTCAAATTATGTAGCTCTATAAGAATGTTATGGAGCTGCCAATAAATATCTACAGGAAAAAAAGATTAACATCAAAATTTTAAATTATGAAAAGCAAACAAGAAATGGTCTGCGATAACAGGCCAATTTTGAAGCTGTAAATTGTTTGGTAAAGATAAAAGATAAAACTCTATATTTGAACACAAACACATAGATAGGAAGGAGAAAATAAAAGGGAGATCCTCCAAAACAAACAACAAAACTGAGGGGAAAAAGAACATAACCCAAGGAGAAAACAGATAAGGAAGCCACCACAAATGCTCTAAAACTCTCTTTGGAAACTCACCCTACAAAACACACACAAAAAAAGGGATAAACTAATACTAAAATAAACAAACAACAACAACACCTTTGCCTTCAACAAAGAAGACAATCAAAAAACTTCAAAAGAACCTAATTAAGCCTTCTCATTCCTTTCGGCCCTCCATAATTTATTGTTGTTGCTAATCTTTGAAGCTCCTTTTCTACCTACTTAACTTTGCTAAGGGTATTTCAACAAAAGAATTTCAAACTTTAACTCCATTGAACAAAGAAGTGATTATGGATCACGCAAATCACTTGCATTGCTTCAAGTCCTCATAGAAATAACTTCCATGTCCAAAAGGTTTCAGCTTTTCAACATATAGACAAGGCAGATTTCCTTTTTACGACCAGTATTAATAGAGTGGCCCCCTGCAAGACTATTCTTGTCCTCTATGCCAGGTTGACAGCCTAAACTTAAAGTATCGCTAACCCCAACACTTAGTTGTTGAAAAAGCTCCTTCACTCCTTGTAAATCACCATCAAGGTCAACACACTCTTCCTGAATTCTTAAACCATCTGGAAGTAGACCTTCATCATCTTCATAATTAATGTTTCCTTTCTTGGAATCTTCGAAGAAAAAACAAAAAGTTTTTTCAGCCTCAGCACTTTCTTGTTGAAAAATCTCCTTCACTCCCTCATAAGTTACCATCAGTGTCAAAACACCCTGTCTGAACATTCTGTCAATCATACTCTGCAATTAATTCATCTATCTAGACCTTCGTCATCTCCATAAAAGGAATCAAAATCATCTTCATCACACAAAAAAATGCCCACCTCAATGCGTGCAAAAGAAGAATCTTTTTCAACCCCTTCAACAGAGTTTATAAAGTTGAAAATCCTTGCAGGTAAGAGTGCCAATTTACACATAAACACACATTTTCAGTAGAATAAATGGAAATTAATGACTACAAAACACAAATGAAAGCGATAGACTTTCCAAATAAATCTGATGAATATCCATTAAAATGTGAGCACAAGAGAGAACAAGACAAGCCAGGCCAAAACATCATGACTAATCAAAACTGAACATTCCATTGCAAAATATATATGTTGATGATAAACTTTAAGTTTTACCCAGTTTAAATGATCAACAAAATCAAAGGAGCAAGAGATGAATAAAAAAAACATAATTCTTCTCCGATATTCACATCAAGACCAAAATGGAAACTATTGAATCCAGGCCAAGAAAAAACAGAGAATACAACCTTACCTTGATGTCTCCGTAGCCGAGAAAAATAGAAAAAATTTAACATGCTCCGAGCGTATCATTTATTCGGTGGTTCTTTTTTATAAATAAAAAATTTTCTTTCATTTCTATCATTTTCTTTTTAATTTTTTATCTTACCGTCATTTTTTTTTCTATTTTGGGAGGGACGACCATGGTCCCGTCCCAGTCTTCTCAGAAAAATACAATGTTATAGCGGAAGTCTAAATATTTGAGACATGAAATTATACAATAAGAATGATAAAAGCAACAAAAAAAAAAAACCACTAATAAAATACCTCAAATGCTTTGTAACAAGAGAATCGAAGGAGAAGATATTGAAAAAAAAGATGAAGTTGGAACAAAAAACGACAAGAGAGAGAGAGAGAGACGGCCCAAATTTATAAAATTCATATGAAAAAAAAACAAAAAAAAAACTTGCACTCTCGTGGCTAACGAGTGTGTAACGACCCAAAATCTATTTAAAGGATAAAAACATGGAGTCGTGACAATTTTTATTTGATTAAAAAAATTGAAAATTTATTTATATTTTACAAATTGGTCTTTTTAAAAATATAAAGCAAGGTTCGGGAATCTGATTATACACATTGAAGGACGAAAATTTAATTTTACTATATCTGTGATACATCCATTTAAAAAATGGTTATCTAAAATTAGTTGTGCAAATTTTTTAATAATTTTAAAATATTTGCTTAACTCAAATAAAATAAAATGAATAATAAAATTAATTACAAGAAAGGAAAACTAAATTATAAAAATTTTATTTTAAGATTAACGGAAAAATTCTGCTTCTAAGTTCTCTAGTGCATTGAGAAACTCAAAGCTACATTGTTCTTTGAAAAATGTTTATGTGTTTATTAGTTTTAATTTTTTTTAAAAAGATATTTGTTTCTTGGAAAGAAATCCATTATAGAGATTAACAACAAAGTAGAGTTGATTCGAAGGCTGGTTCATGAGGTCGTATTCCGGAGAAAATGATACTTCCATCAATGGTTATGAATGTTTCTTGGCAAATGATTTTTAAACCATAATATTTTGATAATTTTTTTTAAAAAAAAATGTTACTTTTATCAATGTACCAATGAAATTTCATTGCTTTCTTCAAAGCATTTTAAGTGAAGGAAACAATTGTTTTTATTAAAAAAAAAAAGGAAAGGAAAGGGAATAGCGGATCTTTTTATTGGATTGTTCAGTGTAAAGGGATAATTAAGAATTTATCTTTAACATTATTTTTGAGATCCTTCATTTAATAATTAACAAGTCTAAATGTGGTGGCTTTTATATATATATATATATATATATATATATATATATATATAATTTTTTTTCTTTTCTTTATAACTGAACTCATGCAAGCTAATTTTCATAATATTAACACATGAGCCTAATACTCAGGGATGATTACGTTCCATTATGTGACTTCCTGTAGATCTCTGATATTTTTCTATGATCTGCTCCATTCTGAGAAAGTTTTCAAGTTAAATATGTACAAGCTATAAAATCTGTAATTAACTTCATATTTTATTGCACTATCAGAAATAAATAAAATTGTGTCAATCAGTATAATATTTTGGTTCTCCCAAGTTAAGAGGATGAATTAATTTCTCTAAATACCCAGGTTAAATACAACATAAAAAATTTACCCCTACTAAAAAAAAGCTTATTTACGACGGGCAATATCCATTACAAATGATCAAATTCCATCGCAAATAAAATTTGCGACTTGTTAGGGATATTGATAATGCTTATCGCGAATCTCAACTTCTGCAGTGTAGAAATGGGCTTAGTCACGTGACTGTTAGTTGGCAATTCCCAGAGGAGGGTTATGTGAAGATTAATACTGACGGTGCTGCTAGAGGTAATCCTGGATTAGCTGCTTGCGGTAGAGTGTTACGTAATTCTCAAGGTCTTTGGCTGCGAGGTTATGCTATCCGGCTGGGGAGGTGCACAGCTTTCCGAGCCGAGTTGTGGGGAATTTGGCATGGTTTGAAGGAGGCTTGGAATGCAGGTTACAAACACGTCATTATTGAAAGTGATTCCTTAGTGGCAATCACTGGGCTCACCAAAGGGGGTGCAACAGTTCGTGAGGTACGTTTGTTATCTCGTATACGAACATGGATTCAAAAAGATTGGGAGGTGCGGATTTATCACAAATATAAAGAGGAAAATGCTTGTGCAGATTGGATGACTAACTATCTTCTGGATCATACAGATCTAGCGAATCAGATCTTCTTTGAAGAACCACCAGGGGGTATCCATCTGTTATATCTGGCTGATCTTGCATCAGTTGGGAGGGATCGTATTGTTCGTAGTCCTAGTTAGGTTTCTGTTTTTTGTTTGGCCTTGAGCCTTTTGTCTACCAAAAAAAAAAAAAAAAATTTGCGACTACGAAAAAAAATCAGCTTTTTTTTTAGTTTCCATTATAAGAAGTTAAGTTTCTAGTACCTCTGAGTTTTGGCCTTACACATTGAATGTGTACTATTGTAAGTCACAGAACTTATGCAGGGAAGAGATAACTTAGATTTCATAAAATGTAGCCCGAGAAAAATCTCTTAGGAAAATATTCATTATTAAACATACATATTGTTAGAAATAAAATTTAGATTTTGCCACATCATCTCTAATCTCCATCATGCTAGAAGTGTTTAGAATATGATAGAAGTCAAAAGTTATAGAAGATTATGGATGCTTGAAGAAAACTCATGGAAGCTTGTGGAGACTTGGAGAAGCTTGAAGACTCTAGAAGAATCCAAATCTTTCTTGAATTATATCCATTGTCAACCCATGATGAGTTGAAAATCTTATCCTATCACTATAAGTTGTATTTAATGTGTGGTTGTTATAAGTTGTCAAATTCAATTTGAAGACTAGAAAGTTACAAGAATGGTCAAAGATGATGGCTAGTGGTTATAATAGGTTGTCAAGTTCAAGTTAAAATCTTCCATGTACATCTTTATATATGTAGTATGTTAGGCATTAGATGAGTGGATAGAAAGATTGAAAAGTGTGTGAGAAAATAAAGTATTGAAACAGTTGTGAGTTGAAACACTTGTGAGAAAAATTGGGAAAAGAAAAGAGAGTTTGAGAAAGAGTTACTTGAGATCATAGTGTTGTAACACTTGTTTTTGTGAGTTGAAACACTTGTAAGAAAAATTGGGTGAAAAAGAGAAAGTTTGAGAAAGAGTTATCTTGAGAGAAAAATTAATCTTAGTGTTGTAACACTTGTGTTTTATATCAAAGTGGAAATATCCAAACGTCAGCAATCATCTCCCGAATTTCAAGGTTATTTATTTATTAATTAATTAATTAGTATGGTTGCTTTGCACATAACTTGTCAAACACCACACTCATCTTCCACTTAATTGCTCTTCTTGGATTTTCCCTTCAGCGATTAATCCTTTCAAGAAACTCCCCGCTATTGTTGATGGAAGGTTCAAACTATTTGAGAGGTACTTCAATTGATGTATAATGTGAATATTCATTATGATTGTCTTTATGTTTTGCTTCTTTGATTGGGTTATTGCTGGCTACAATTAATTATTAACTAATTTCATGATATGGAATTTTCTTCTTTTTCATATTAATTTATGTATGTGTTCTTTTCTTCTCTACAGCCATGCAATTCTTATCTATCTTGCTTCTGCCTTTCCTGGAGTTGCAGACCATTGGTTAGTATTGTACTTCTTTACAAAATTTAATTGCAAACTTATTTATGAATTCAAGATATGTGTATGAACAGAGGGTAGGGAGGGTATTGGGTTGAGCTTGAGTTTCATTAGCTATATGTTGTATTGTTTCTTAACATAGCAACCTCAGGAAGTGGTGTTCTTTGGCTACTAATGTTAGTCACATAGTTTATATGTGTATCATACAGTATATTCACCTTTGTTTAGTCGTAACTAAACTGATGAAACTTAAACAAGGGATCATACTGTAAGATTTGCCTTTGTGTATGCTAGTCGTTACATACATGATGGACATATTGATACCTTATTTTGTGAAGACATACACTTCTGTTGTCTGTTTTTTAACATTTTTTGTACTATTCATTCCATTAGGTACCCAGCTGATATTTCCAGGAGAGCTAAAATTCACTCGGTCTTAGATTGGCATCACCTGAATTTGCATCGTGGGGCAGGTGAATCTTAGCTCAATGGAACCCTTTTGTTTATTTGGTTTCAGTAATCAAATTTCTTTGTTGTCTTGAAAGTGAAACTAACAGTCTAACCTGAAAATTCGTAAACTGATATTTATATTGGCCTCATTCCAGTAATCTCAATGTAATAAATCAGGGATTAATGTCATGTTTAGCTTGTGTATTGGATTGGATAGCTCTATATTCTGGGATTTTGGTGGAATTTGTTGTTCCATTTGGAAATACTGAAGTTTAATCAAGTAAATAACGACTAAAAGTAGCTATAAAATAATGGTTAAGCTTTAGAAAATATGTTCAAGCACTATTTACTCTGGACAATTTAATTAGTTGTAGATGACAGTATATAAGTAGTTCAGCCTTTCTTTGTGACTTCCTGTCAGTGGCAAAGTTATTTGCTTTAGAGTTTGTATCATTCTGGTAATGCCATATATTTTGAGAATGATTTACATTCTTCTTGTGCATGTGATTTTAATGTCATGCTTTGTATTAATTTCTGCCGAGTAATTTCCTTTGATCTTGGGTGAAGATGTTGTTTTTCTTCTGCATGCAAATTTTTTCCTGCTTCCTCACTTTTGATGACCTAGTCTTCTTATTTTTGTTCTAGCCACATTTGTTCTAAATACTGTACTAGCTCCGATATTGGGTCTACCACTAAACCGACAAGCAGCTGTTGAAGCTGAGAACATTTTGATATCATCTCTTTCAAAAATAGAGAACATATGGCTTAAGGGAAATGGTCGGTACTTGCTTGGTGGCCTGCAACTGTCCATAGTCGATCTCAGTCTGGTTTGCGAAATTATGCAATTAGAGGTAAACGGGGGAGTTCCTATAACATAAAAATTTCTTTGTGTCATGACATGGGGGATGGTTTTACTTTTTTGATCAAGATTTTTGCTTGTGAGTTCAAAAAAGATGAATTGTAGACAGTTTTTTGGTTAGCATAGTGTGACTTGTTATCTATTCGAATTTGGTTTGGCTAAAGGAAGGAGATATTTCTTACCGTTAATGTTGGCCTACTTAAAAGCTATTTACCTACAAATGTGACATGCATGACAGAATATTGATCCTCTCCTCAAAGGGAATCGTGATAGTGACTTTTTTTTTTGGATGCAGCTTTTAGATAAGAAGGATTTTTGGATGCAGCTTTTAGATAAGAAGGATCGTGATCGTATTCTCGGTCCCCACAAGAAAGTTCAGCAGTGGATTGAGAGCACAAGAAATGCAACGAGGCCTCATTTTGATGAAGTTCATAATGTTCTCTATAAGTTGAAAATGAAGTTTTCGATGCAGCAAACTAATCAGGAAGATGGCGGGATGGATGCTAGAAGTGTTTAGAATATGATAGAAGTCAAAAGTTGTAGAAGATTATGGATGCTTGAAGAAAACTCATGGAAGCTTGTGGAGACTTGGAGAAGCTTGAAGACTCTAGAAGAATCCAAATCTTTCTTGAATTCTATCCATTGCCAACCCATGCTGAGTTGGAAATCTTATCCTATCACTATAAGTTGTATTTAGTGTGTGGTTGTTATGATAGAAGTTCAAGTTAAAATCTTCCATGTACATCTGCATATATGTAGTATGTTAGGAATTAGATGAGTGGATAGAAAGTTTGAAAGTGTGTGAGAAAATAAAGTGTTGAAATAGTTGTGAATAGAAACACTTGTGAGAAGAATTGGGAGAAGAAAAGAGAGTTTGAGAAATAGTTACTTGAGAGAAAAATTAGTCATAGTGTTGTAACACTTGTTTTTGTGAGTTGAAACACTTGTGAGAAAAATTGGGTTAAAAAGAGAAAGTTTGAGAAAGAGTTATCTTGAGAGAAAAATTAGTCTTAGTGTTGTAACACTTGTGTTTTATATATGTAAAAGTTTGATATAATAATATTGTTCTTTGTTTTGTTAGTTTGTGTTCTTTATTATTGTATTTCCAACAAGTGGTATCAAATGAATTGAAATTCCAACAATTGGTATCAGAGCTTTCTTGTCTTTCCTACGTGATTCTTTAAGTGTCCTTCTATGCGCATCTGTCATAGCTGCTTCAGCGGCTGCATCTATAGGCTCTAAGTATCCAGTTTCAACAAGATCCCAGACATTTTGTGAACCCAAAAGAGTCTTCATGTGAGTGCTCCAATTACCATAGTTTGTCTTTGTCAATTTTGGAATTTGAGGTTGAATCATCTCCGCCATCTTTTGTTGAGACACGATCGAACCAGGCTCTAAGTGATTGAAAAGTGTGAGAAAATAAAGTGTTGAAACAGTTGTGAGTTGAAACACTTGTGAGAAAAATTGGGAGAAGAAAAGAGAGTCTGAGAAAGAGTTACTTGAGAGGGCCAAAGAGTTACGTGAGATAATGCATGAAGTTGAACGACATATATACCTGCACACTTTGCTGCTTCATCTTCATCAAGTATTGCAGCAAAGCCATTAATATATTTATTATAGGAGTAAAAGATTGCATCTTTGGCCCTCTCGGTGCTATGTAAGAAAAAATACATACAATGAGTTCATATTGGTTTGTCGATCAGAGAACTTCATGTATTTATATATGGTTAAATTATATACCTTCCAAGGTGAGATCCAAGCAAATCATAACGAGAGTTTGTGACATTTTCCAGATCAACTAATGAAGGGTTTGTACCAAAAGAATGTGATCCTAAGATTACAATATAGGACTAACAAAGCAACACAAGAATCATTATAAGGCCACATTTTTAAACATTGAAATATGAAATTTAGAGAACTTCAACCAACACCATGATGAGTATTTTCGCAAGAAACTAACAAGATGTTTCATTCTTAGAAACAAGAAAACTGGTGAAAGTAATAACGCAAAGACAGAAGTGAAAGAACTCGCCTGTTTGATCGCTTGGGCAGGTTCCTGTATCGTAACGCAAAGAAGAAGTGAAAGTAACACATGCCAAATGGTTGAAGACATTGTTTGTCTCATTGATGACGCTTGTTTACAAAAGAAATTTCAATTATGTGCAAATGGTTTCTTGCTTATATAACCAACCATGTTCTTTGACTAGTTGAAATCTTTTCAAATCAAATCTTTCCTTTTTTACGAGGCAGGGTGAATGGTTATAAGGCAACATCAATTGCATTAAGAAGAGCAAGTGTCTTCCATTTTTTCACCTTGGTGTTTTATGCTAAATAAATAAATTGAATGAAGTATGAAGATTATCTTTATGCCTTTGCATGTGTTCTGTATTAAGATTTGATGCCTTTGATATTTTATGGTTTTACACCGATTTTTTGACTATGTAATACATGATAGTGTAATCATGGATTTTACTCGACTAGAACACCCAATTAAAGAATATGGACAAACCTATAAAATTTGAATTTAGCTGGTAGCCAGGTTGATTTTGTTCAACTTAAATTGACTTAATCAATTTTGATTTCGGATTTTCATAAGAACCAAGTGTGGGTCCCACAATCCGTATCTCTACAACATAACCTAACAACATTCCTACAACATTATATTTCTATTTTCCTATATATATATATATATATATATATATATATATATAGCAGAATATTATTGAAGGGAAATCTTAGTGATTTCCATATATATAACCCAAGAAGGGCTTGGGGATACTATTGTAGTTCTATTGTCATGAAAATTAGTTACGTTATAATTTAGTTTTTAACTGGCCATATATTCTTGGCTGAGACCTTATCTATTTGTATTATATAAAAAAAATAGTCATGATTTAATAGAATGACTTATATTATGGAAGAAATACACTAACGTTTAGTCGTTGGTGTTAGGGGTTGCAATGCTGCGAGATTATTAGCATTAAAGCCTAAAGAAAATATATATGGGTTTTATTTTTCTCATGTTGTATTAGAAAATTTGTCTCATGCAACACACACAAAAATGGGTGGGACCTACCCACTCACTTTTTTGTGTGATGCATGAGATAATTTGTCTCATGCAGTATGAGAAAAAATGGGTGAGACCTACTAAAAAAAGAGAGAAAATAAAAAAGTGGGTCTCACCCACTTTTTCTTATGTTGCATGAAAAAAATTGTCTCATTAAACATGAAAAAAAGAAACCCTATATATATATATATATATATATATATATATATATATATATATATATATATATATCTACACAGTCTTCTTTCTTTTTGAATCATGCAGAAGATAATATGTCCAATCTGTGCCTTACACAGCACAGAAAGCTCATTTGTCTTCTTCATGAAACCAGTTCTTCGTTTAGAGAAGGTAACCAGCTCATTTGTGCAAGTATATATGTCATTCAATTTCGTGCATTATCTCACGTTTATCCTCTGCATAATGCATAGCACATATATTTTGACATATAGTTACTGGTGTTTTCTTACTGGTGTTTTTTTATTGGTGCATGTAGAGCATACAAATGTAGAGCCTCGTAATGGAATATGACATTTGGTGAAGAAATCATCATTGGAAATTTAGACACTGTTAAGTGGTAATAAAGGATGAAGATTTTCTTTATGCCTTTGCATGTGTTCTATTTTAAAACTTGATGCCTTTGATATTTTATGGTTTTACACCGATTTTTCTACTATGTAACACATGATAGTGTAATCATGGTTTTTACTCGACTAGAATACCCAATTAAAGAATATGGACAAACGTATAAAATTTGAATTTAGCTTGTAGCCAGGTTGATTTTGTTCAACTTAAATTGACTTAATCAATTTTTATTTCGGATTTTCATAAGAATCAAGTGTGGGTCCCACAATCTCTATCTCTACAATATAACCTAACAGCTTTCCTACAACGTTATATTTATATTTCCCAATATATATATATATATAGAATAATATTATTGAATGAAAATCATAGTGATTTCCATATATATTACACAGGAAGGGCCTGTGGATACTATTGTAGTTCTATTGTAATGAAAATTAGTTACGTTATAATTTATTTATTAACTGGCCATATATTCCCGACTGAGACCTTATCTATTTGTATTATATAAAAAAAATACCCATGATTCAATAAAATGAGTTATATTATGCAAGAAATACATTAACGTTTAGTCATTGGTGTTAGGGATTGCAATGCTGCAAGATTGTGAGCGTTAAAGCCTAAAGAAAATATATATATGGGTTTTATTTTACTCACGTCGGATGAGAAAAATTGTCTCATGCAACGCACACAAAAAAATGGATGGGACCTAGCCACTCACTTTTTTCTGTGTTGCATGAGACAATTTGTCTCATACAATATGAGAAAAAGTGGGTGAGACCTACTAAAAAAAGAGAAAGAAAACAAAAAAGTGAGCCCCACCCACTTTTACTTGTTTTGCATGAGACAATTTGTCTCATGCAACATGAGCAAAATAAAAACCATATATATATATATATATATATATATATATATATATATATATATATGTCTGCTTTCTCTTTGGATCATGCAGAAGATAATATGTCCAAATTGTGCATCACACAGCACAGAAAGCTCATTTGTGTTCTTCACGAAACCATTTCTTCGGTTAGAGAAGGTAACCAGCTCATTTGTGCAAGTATATATGTCATTCAATTTCATGCATTATCTCACGTTTATCCTCTGCATAATGCATAGCAGATTTATTATGACAAATAATTACTTGAGTTTTCTTACTTGTGTTTTTTTATTGGTGCATGCAGAGCATCCAAATGTAGTATTAGTCTTCTTAAATAAAGAACGACAACTGCACACAACTCACTCATGGGATTTCCTCAGGTTAGAGAGACATAGTGTAATTTCAGTGGCCTCATAATGGAATATGACATTTGGTGAAGATATCATCATTGGAAATTTAGACACTGTTAAGTGGAAATAAAGGATGAAGATTTTCTTTATGCCTTTGCATGTGTTCTATTTTAAAACTTGATGCCTTTGATATTTTATGGTTTTACTCCGATTTTTCTACTATGTAACACATGATAGTGTAATCATAGTTTTTACTCGACTAGAATACCCAATTAAAGAATATGGACAAACCTATAAAATTTGAATTTAGCTGGTAGCCAGGTTGATTTTGTTCAACTTAAAATGACTTAAACAATTTTGATTTCGGATTTTCATAAGAATCAAGTGTGCGTCCCACACTCTCTATCTCTACAACATAACCTAACAGCTTTCCTACAACATTATATTTATATTTCCCTATATATATATATATATATATATATATATATATATATATAGCATAATATTATTGAATGCAAATCATAGTGATTTCCATATATATTACACAGGAATGGCATGTGGATCCTATTGTAGTTCTATTGTAATGAAAATTAGTTACGTTATAATTTAGTTATTAACTGGCCATATATTCCCGACTGAGACCTTATCTATTTGTATTATATATAAAAAATACCCATGATTGTTATCAAAAATAAAAAAAATAAATACCCATGATTCAATAAAATGACTTATATTATGCAAGAAATACACTAACGTTTAGTCATTGGTGTTAGGGATTGCAATGCTGCGAGATTGTGAGCGTTAAAGCCTAAAGAAAATATATATATATATGGGTTTTATTTTACTCATGTTGCATGAGACAAATTGTCTCATGCAACGCACACAAAAAAATGGATGGGACCTACCCACTCACTTTTTTCTGTGTTGCATGAGACATTGTCTCATGCAATATGAGAAAAAGTGGGTGAGACTTACTAAAAAAAAGAAAGAAAATAAAAAAGTGAGTCTCACCCACTTTTACTTGTGTTGTATGAGACAATTTGTCTCATGCAACATGAGCAAAATAAAATCCATATATATATATATATATATATATATATATATATATATATATATATATATATATATATATATCTATAATGTCTGTTTTCTCATTGGATCGTGCAGAAGATAATATGTCC